CAGAAGACTCAGAGTCTCCGCCAAGCCCCGACGATGATACGTCACCTATCTCACCTCTGTCTCGATCAAGTTCTGTCCAGGCTGATCGACGTGTTGTAAGCCCTGTGTCTTTGGTTTCGAGATTCAGCACAATGTCAAATAGGACTGATCAGAGTCGGGAGCGGGCAGAAAGCCAGAGGAAAGCGTTCTAATAAAGACTCTATGCCTTGATTCTTGGAGAGACCTCCTGCTTAATAGGGGCTGGCTTAATTTCGGTGTTTCTGAATGAGAGTGAGACGACGAGATCTTGTGCTACGGCTTTGTCGCTTACGGATGGGAGATGGGTCCGAAAGGGGCCATTTTGATGTTGTTTAGCTATTTATTTGTGTTATAGTTAGGACAGGGGAAGGCCAACGCGATTTAATTATGCTTGAGATTAATCAAAGCTGTCTCAACTTTGGATCATGTTTCAATATTCCATTTTTGGTATACTCAAGACGAAGGGAACAGTGCAAGGTAGTCAGTATTATGTAGTTATAGAGAGTAGCAAGATAGATGTTAAGTTTGAATCACCACTAAGCATTATTTCTTTGACCAGACCTCTTTCACAATGTAAAGATTTCTTCAAAGGTCGATCCTTTGAAAGCTACCTCAGGAACAATATCGAAAGACTCCAGACTCCTTGCGTGCTGACACACGACAATGCTCCAAAACAGAACGAAAGAAAAGGACCGCAGCAAAGCAAGGTATGTTCTCACCAACCCCATGTTGCCTCATCCTCTAAGTCCACTCCTGCTGCTTTCACACTTTTCCATCATGTCCATGACAAGGACCATGGCCTTGAGCTGCCTGCAGCACTTCGTTGTCATACTTTCCAGGCTGGAAAGCATAATTCAAGTTCTCTCTGTCCTTCAAAAACATATCAACTCTTTCATCCTTGGACCTGCCCGCCGCAATTGTATTACGACGGGCCACCTGCTGCCCAATGGCGAGGTTGGACTGGTTCTTCATTTCCACGAGATCGGCGCCGTATTGGTCTGCTCTACTCATCTGAGCAAAAGCGCCTATCATGCACATAACAACAACGAGAGTGGCAAAAAGGCCATTGGACATGTATAAAGGATCCTTCACTCTGCCATCACGGGCATCATACCATCGTTCCCAGTCTTCCCATGTAGCATTATGTGCGGCAGATCCGGTTCTATGACGCCAGGCACGATCGGCACTGCGGACAGTTTCGTTGAGTGTCTGAGGCCGACCACCAGTCCATCCTACACCATGAACATCATAGAGTTGACGTTTAGAGGGATCGCTAAGGAGGTCGTTGGCAGCAACAATAAGGCGATACCGTTCTAAGCGGACCTTGTGTGTTATGTTATCGGTTTTGAGAGCATGGCTGTGTCGGTCGGGGTGGTAGACTTTGACAAGCTGATAGAATCGATGCTTGGTATACGGAGCGTCATTCTTCATAGCGAAGATCTCGTAGGGAGAAGGATACGAAGTTTTAGGCCACTCGGGTACTTCATTACTTTGACCGCTGTTTACTGTAGCATATCGTCTATTCCCGTCTATTGAGAAAGTCGTTGCCGGTGCGTGGCTAAATCGTACCCCTCCAGATGACGTTATAGATCGGATAGGCGTTAGACTCGACACGGCGGGAAAGACATTGCAGGAACTGAGAAAAATGGCAGATTTGTTCAGCGGCATGACGAGTTTGTTGAGTGGCATAAGCCCAGAGACATTGAAATCATGTTCAGCACCACGAGCTGTGAGGTTTTGGATATCGCGGACTGAGCATGTTAGAGCAGGAAACGATGGCTACAAAAGACGGAGGATTAAGTGGCGAATGAGCATGCGCATCATCCGAACCCGCAGATTCCGTTCCCCACAATCACAGACTGAGGTGGCAGGGATTATCTAATGCAGCCGGAATGGTCACGAGACCAGATCCATGTTTCTTCACCGAGATGTTCACCACGGTGAAGACTGTCTCTAAAGCATCCCTGCTTCGATCTGCCGATGTCCCGAGATACCCTTGCATTCGACGACAGATTCGTTCACATTATCCGTTCGGGTTGCCACTGTATTTCCTTCCAATCGCTGGCGGCTAAAACCAGTCGTTCAAAAGCAACTCCAGCCGACGATCAATTCGAAGTAAAGCAATTCATCCAGCAACCAACACTGCCGACGTATCCGACTCTTGAAGTATTGAAATACTGTCTCCCATCGAGATGAAAGGCTGATTACCCTGAATCATTCGGCAATTAGTTGAGTGTAACCGAACTTCCATTTGAGCGCTACCGAGGATATTATCAACTTGTAACAGGATATAAGCGCGGGAATAATAAATCATCATGCACACCATGTCATCAGAGGCGCTGCGCTAAGTCGGGAGCCTCGATCTGGACAAGATTCACGTTTCTCTCGTGTTAGTTAATTCCGTTTATGCTTCTCCTCGTCTGAGTCAGAGCCCGACTCCGCGATTTGGGGTAAATGGCAAGATGATGTTCGTCACATATGGGGAAGACCCGTCAAGAGATCAACCAGACACACGGTACCTGGGGACGGCATTTCCTATGTCTGTGAGCCAATGAAACCAACAGCAGTATGAACATGACTCTTGATAGCCTCGTTTTTACCACGTTGCGAGCTGAAGTTGGTGGAGTTCGCTAACGGAATTCTTCCGGCCGCCATGACAATCACTCCACTTATCAGCGACATAATTCGGCCGTCATCTCCACCGCAAGCTTTTCTCTGCATTACTAATGCTTCTAGGGTGTTTTCTCGTGGGAATAACTCCGACGTGCAGCTCCCCTGCTGGTTCGTGTTGAGGCTCAGTACTAGCTGAGCCAGGATTGATCCTTCCGGCTTGGCCTGAGCCTCAACGTTGGTCTTAAACACTTCCCAGCTTCGCAGACGAGTTATTCTTGAAGTATCGATTTCACTTCTGATGAAGACCCTGGCCAAAATGAACGGCACAATGCTCAATGGTTTCCATGTATGATTTGAAATCTCCGCGGGTATGGATACTTGACTCGAACCTGGCCAACCATTGCCACACAATTCTCATCACCAACCTCATGACGATTGGATTATACCCTGGACACTGGCTCCGCTTCGTCTGAATCACCCCCAAGCGCAGTCTACAGCATGGTATATCCGCGTGCCGACATATCCAGCGTTTCCCGGGATAATAGGCCCTGCAAAGGTTCCGTCACACCATGTTGGGAACCTCCACATTGGTTACTGGGTCTATTCTCCACGCCCATCCTTGATCCTCGGCCCTTTGGTGATGTTCTTGCTCAAGGACTGTTAGTGTCGTGGGTCGTTGAGCTCGGAAGATGGGACATGTTCCAATGAGCTTGACTATCACATTGGACTATCAGTTCTCAGCCTGTTGCTGATCCTACCAATGTGACCTTTGGAACTTGCCGTTCCCACACTCCAAGAGCCCGATGGAGTCGAATGTCCGTTCGTTCGTCATCTCAAAGTTGGGTTTGGGGTAGATCTCGTAGCCAAGTACGAACGATGGGGGATATAAAGCTATGTCTTGGACCCTATATGCGTTGACCAGATCTTTCTCCAGATTTTTCTCCAGAAGTCTATCCCGAATCCTTCTACATAAGCTTGTTTCTGTCGTGTTCAGTGGCCAGCTTATCACTACTCATTTTCCATAAGTCTTAGTTCAATACTCAGACGGGATGTCTTCAGGCACTCCTCCCTCCCACGGGGCAACGACCCCTACGCAGTACACAGATAAGGAGGAAGGCCACTACCATTGCAATCATCCCAACCATTACTATGAGGAACGAAATAGGAACGTTCAGAAGCCTCACCAGTCCATGGTGTCGCAGGTGTATAACCCTTCGTTCTTCAAGGTTGCCAATCCTGGTCCATTGGGGTTGATCAGTTTCGCCTTGACTACCTTTGTCCTCGGCCTCTACCAGTGCGGTGCTGGGTAAATTATTCCCATATCCTTGGTCATGGTTTTAAATGCTAACCCTGTGTTACAGTCTCCCTGGATCAAACCCCTTCGGCGGTGTCGGCCCTGACCAAGCCATCTTTGGCCTGGCTGTCTTCTTCGGTGGCATTGCCCAACTTTTTGCCGGCCTTATGGAGTTCCGCGTCGGTAATACCTTTGGTACTACCGTCCATTGTTCCTATGGTGCCTTCTGGCTTGCATTCGCCATGTTCTTCGTTCCTGATCTGGGTATCAAGGACGCATACAAGGGCGACGACCGCGCTTACAGCTTTGCATTGGGCATCTTCCTGATTCTGTGGTGCTTCCTCACTCTCATATTCTTTGTGGCCGCTCTCAAGACAAACATTGCCATCCTCATTGTTCTCGGTTTCTTGTTCCTCGCTTTCCTCTTCCTCAGCTTGGCTCAGTTTCTGCAAACCACTCACCCTACTGCTGCTATTCGTATCAACAAGACTGGAGGTGCATTCTCATGTATCTGTGCCTTCGCAGCCTTCTATGCAGGTGCGGCTGGTATTATGACGGAGGATACAACATGGGTTCGCTTCCCTCTTGGCGAAATCGATGTCCAGCCCAAGAAGACAAACATTGCATAAGCACATACGCTTCTAATATTAGGATGGAAAGCAAATGGCGGTAGTTTGTAACGTTGTTTCATAATGCACCGTGGAATAAGAATGAATAAGTATGTTTAATGCCCGAACAACATGGAGATAATATAGAGACAAATAAGACATGATAACAGACAGATAGCATTCGAAAATTGATGACGTCAGGTTTCGCTTGCCTGAGACAAACGTCACGCACAGATATTAGGTCGTTATTTTCAGTTGTGGTATGATCACATTAAAAAAAAAGCCAATGTGACCACGTCATAGTTGTGGTGGGTTTAGCACACAGATGAATGTGTAAATTGATTTCTTAATGCATGAAATTTGCTCCCTTAGTGTTATGATGCATGCCTTGTAATCGTACAACAGACCAATATGAGGTCTGAATTTCCATTATATCCCATCTCAGCCATGACAAGTTTGAGCTGTGCTTACAACTTGCCCTTAACCTCCTCAGCTGCACCCTTCACCTTGCCCTTGGCCTGCTCAGCAGCGCCCTTGGCTTCACCCTTGAGCTCCTGAGCCTTGCCAGCAGCCTCTCCTCGAAGCTCTTGTGCCTTTCCGGTGGCACTGCCACCAGTCACATCCTGGGCAACATCCTTGGCTTTCGAGGCAGCGTTTTCTGAACATCCTTATTAGCAATTGAACATCTTGAGCCAGTTGATAGTTGAAGGCTAACCGCCAGCCTCAATGCCGTCGACAATCTTGTCGCTCACAACACGATCAACCTTCTTGGCAGTGTCCTTGACAGCATCTGTGGCAGTTCGCTGCAAAGCAAAGCTCGTGGTGAATGTTCGAGGAGCCTGGAAGGCGATGACGCGAGGTGCAAGGGCGACACGGCGGATGACGTTCTCTGTGAGGAAAGACATGATGATGGCTACTGGTGTTTTGTTGTGGGAGAATTGAATTGGGATCTTTTATGTTGTGAGGTAAAGAAAAGAGTCAATTGATGAAATTGAGAAAGAATAGATTGAGCTTTTTCGAAAGGAGAAAGAGAGACACGGGAAGTTCTTGTAACTTTATGTTATGACGACGCGAGCTTGTCATAGCTGCATGATGTCACTCGCGGGGAAAGAAACTCCCTGTTACGGCGCGACCAAACAAGCACGTGAAAGAAAAAGGAGAGGTAATGATGACGCAGCGAGGCTTGAAATAAACGGGGAGAAAGTGCTGAGCTTAGAACGAGCTTGTCCTCTTTTCACGTTTTGTGTTCAATCTCATCATCGAAGGAACCCGCGGCCGATCGCTGAAGAAGGTTTGGGAACTCATGTGGGGAAGCAGGGAAGGTGCGTTTACATAAAAAGGGCTGATGTTAGTGTAGTGGAAGGTACCATCAGATCTACCGCAAGTTTGTAAACAAGATCAATGTAACAACTTTTAAACTCAGCTAATAAATTGACCTCGAAGTGTCAATACAGTCGTGACCTTGAAGCAGCAAGCAAAAGCAAAAGTACCTTGCCTATTCAAATAGCCACAAAACACATTATTAATTACACTAAGCCTGTCTGTCGCTTTTAGAACCGAAGGCTCAAGTTTTTGTAATCTTTCTATGCGTCACAGTTGCCCTTGGCCGTATTCATTGTTCAACAGATTCGGCTCCATATTGCTTGAAGCCCATGTGCTTTCATATCTAAATCGGAATCAATCTAGTACATTAACATAACAGATTTTTCAATGATCATCAGCCGTCGTCATCATGAAAAAATGAATAAAACTTCATAAATCATCATTTCGTTGTGCCTTTGACGTCTCTTTCGGCACTGATACCTTCTGGCGATGCTGCTTTAGGCTCTGGCTCTATTGCTTCGCACTCAATATCCCGGCCATCGTGATTCGGATCTGCCAACTGCATAGTAGCAGCTTGTCGAATCATAAAACCCTCATCTCTGGCTCTTGGCTCCGGTTCGTCGCATTTTTCATCGGTTTCATTGTCATCTTCAATGACTTCATCTGCAGATGTCCCCACTCGACCGTTTATAACGTTGTCGATACGTAGCCTAGGTGGACCCGAGTTGAGTCTCATACCATTCTTGGGCGGCCCAGCTGCATATGGAGTCAGCTAAATAACAACTTGAACATGTTTCTTGCGTACTTACAAAGCAGGAGGTCGAACAACTTGACAATAACAGGTCCCCAGACGGTAACAGCGATGATCTATAGAATACCGTGAGATAAATGAACTGATCAGGGGATGGAAACGTACCTGGCCATACGACCACCTATTAGCAGCAAAACTCTCGGCATTGATGACTTTCGTTAGAGAGATCATGTACAAGATGTTGATGACGAGATATGCGACTTCAAGGATACGCCAGAACCAAATCTTAATAAAAAGTCCTCTTTTCTGCTTCCCCCAGCGAGGCCAGCGACCAAGACGGTACGAACCAATCTGAACATGTTTAGTGAGATGATGCTTGCGAAGTGTCCACGCCAGCTGATCAGCTACCAATGCGATGATGGCAATGGTGTCGAGAATAAGAAACGTCATTTTATACAACAAGGGATGGGGAAAGAAGCTGAAGGACTGTCCATCAATACCTTGAGTTGCGGCGCAATATGTTCGTGGACTTGGGTTGAAACCGCATGCTTCTATCTCATTCTGGCTCTTGAACAAAGCGAACGCGTCTTTGAAATAGATCTTTTGCGACGTTGCGACGATGGCGAGGAGATACTCCATGAAGAAGCCCAAAAATGTGTGCCAGTTGCGAATGCCCTCATGATGCAGACAAACCTGGACAAGAAACATTGGTAGTATGCCGTTCTGAGAAACATGAAATGCAATGGCCGCATTGACAACGATCTCGCCCCAAAAGGTACCCTCTTGAGAGTTTACAACAATGGCAAGAATCGATGCAATCTGAACAGCAAAGACAAACCAGCACTGAGCCTCTTGAAACTCGACTAAGGTGGTTGCAATCGCAATGCTCGTGCGCGACAGGCCACCAGAGTCACGCCAGATCATGCTCTCAATTCGGGTCAGACTGCGCTTCAGGCGATAGGGCTTGGGTTCCGATTTGCGACGACTGGTATCTTGTGTAATAGTGACCCAGAGAGTGAAGCCTTTGAGTAGCAGATACAAGGATGCAGCGAAGCATACTTGGAGAACATAGGAGATGAGAACCTGAAGCCCATGTCAGTGTCTAGAGAACTCAACAAATGCCAGTCGGACCTACTCCCGGTCCAAAGATATCTGGGTTGACCTCGGCTGGTAACTCTGGACAAAACTCGTCCAGGGCCTCGAAAATCTCCTCAGGGGTTGAGGTATCATAGGAGAGGCGGTCAATTGTCCGGTTGCAAGGTTTGCTCAGACCATCGTTGTCACAAGAGTCTTGAGCGCAAGCGATGAGAGATCTGAGAACAGGTCGACCATCAAACTCTGACAAAGTTCCAGATCCCATGATTGCGCTAGCATTGCGCTCAGTCTCTTGGCTGACATAGTAAGACTTCGCATCCTGAGTCCAGTGCGCGGCCGCAGCCAAGGCAGCGCAATTGTAGAACGTCTCCAACGAGCTGAAGAAGAGACTGGAATTGTTGCAGGCGCGTGTGCAGTCAGTTCTACCATCGACCTGGCACCCAGAACTGAAGAGAGTTATTTCCTGGTTCCCATCGAGACTTGTGGCGAAAAGCTCTTTGAAAGTGAGTCCCGAGTTAACATCATCAGAGCCAGAGCCGAGACCGGCGATGTCAACAAACGGGAAGAAATCGGAGGTTCCTTCGATGGAATTGCGAATGAGAATAGTGAGAGGTGTACTTGAGGCTGTGGGTGATGGTGCAGACGAGGTGAGAGTTGTGGAAGTCGACAATGATTGCAGAATGGAGGCTGATGCCATCGTGGAGATGTCTCTTGTCGAGACGTAGTGTATCCTCCACGAGCTCAATTAAGAATGTCCCTCCATGGTCTTTGTTTGATCTTATGGCTACACTACCCGTTGTGCCAAAGAGTAGGGAAGAAAGAGAAGATCAACAGAAATCGGAGGAGGCTGAAGATCCAATCCAATGGGTCTAGTTCGTCGCTGACTGGGATCTGGGCTCGCTACTGTAATTAGTCTATATGCCGTTCGTTGTCTTGGCACATTTCCCCAGAATGGAAGTTTAGAGAAGCTTGTTTGGTGGCGAAGTTGGGCTTTGTTTTCCTGGCTTTCAAGATTAAAACAGAGATGACAATGTGCAATTTCTATCATCATGTCGGAAAGATTGAAGGTAACTGTAAGCTGACCAGACATAACAGCTTCTTTGGATCGTCTTATTGTCGACCGCCATCCTGTCAATTGTATGTGGAACTTGGACCAGGTCATCATCTCCACCAAACATGTTTCGTTGATAGTAACAACCCTATATGCTACTCACTGCGGTTACATACAAGAATATTAAACTTCAACAGGCAAGGGTGTATATAACCGTGTGAAGTTGAATTAACCATAAATCTACGGATGCTTCTCTTAAAATCCCGTCCTTGTCTTATCGGTTATCGGCTTAACATTTATGAACCGACACCAACCGATGCACGTCATTCCTCGGCTCGCAATGCCGTGTCTCAGATACCTTAAGGTAATATACAAAGCTCAAATTCCCATCACCAATACCGACCCAACGATCACCAATTGACCTGCTCACAATGGCCCCTCGTCTTTCCCAACCCGTAGCGACACTTCGTCTTCTCAGACGTTACTATTCCTCTGCCTCCGAACCTCTCATCCGCGTAACGAACCTCCCCGCGCCAAACACTGGCCATATTCGCATTCTTGAGCTTAACCGCCCGTCTGCACGAAATGCCATTTCAAGGGCTCTTCTAGCAAATCTTCGCGCCGAGATCGATGCTTTGCATAGTCAATATGGGCCCAATGGCGAAGAACTGCCACTGCAGAAGCGTTTTGGTGGTGCAGCTGGTGTAGATGAGAAGGGTCCTACTAGAGCTGTTGTGCTGGCTAGTGCTGTCGATACATCGTTTTGCGCTGGCGCCGATCTCAAGGAGCGTAAGGGCATGAGCCAGGGAGAGTCAGTATTCCTTATATTTCAATGTGCTATACTAATCATCGGGCACAGAACTGCTGAATTTCTCACAAATCTCCGCAACACCCTCACATCTCTATCCAACCTTCCCATCCCTACCATCTCGGCCATCTCCTCAGTCGCGCTCGGCGGCGGTCTTGAGCTCGCTCTCTCCACACACTTTCGCGTTCTGAGTTCCAATGCAACTGTCGGTCTTCCTGAAACCCGCCTAGGCATCATCCCTGGCGCCGGTGGCACCCACCGTCTTCCCGCTCTTATCGGCCTCTCCCGCGCTCGCGATTTGATCCTGACCGGCCGTCGCGTTGGAGCTCCTGAGGCGTACTTTCTAGGTATTGCTGATCGGCTTGTTGAGATCGTACCCGAGGATGAGCGTGATGGGTCAGACGTCCTTGGCGAGGCCAGAAAAGCAGCGTTGAGTGAAGCTGTGAGACTTGCGCAGGAGATCTGCGAAGGAGGACCGATAGGTGTGAGGGCTGCTCTACAGGCTGTAGCATGGGCAAGGGAAGAGGTTGAGAACAAGATGTATGAGCGGGTCGTTAATACCGAGGATAGAAACGAAGCCCTTAAGGCTTTCCAGGAGAAGAGGAAGCCTATTTTCACCGGCCGATAAGGAATTTTAAAATCCTTGAGAGTCGATATCAAAACACGAGCAATGTGGGCAGTATGAGCTATGAACAGCTGACGGATTAATCATTAAAACAGATCGAGTCAACTCCAAGTTCTCTGTGCAACTTGCTATTCTTTCTCTATCTATCTGATCCTCCGGACATGCCATCACCAGGCAATCCCACCCCAAAAACCTGCTAGTTATATAAACTCCGTTAAAAGGTTATTTGGCTCAATCGTGGGGTTATCTCTT